AGTAAGAGAACTGATACTGGTAACATCAAGTGTTGTAGCAAGAGAAGTACTGGTAACATTAAGTGTTGCAGCAAGAGAAGTACTGGTGACATTAAGTGTTGTAGCAAGAGAAGTACTGGTGACATTAAGCGTTGCAGCAAGAGAAGTACTGGTGACATTAAGTGTTGTAGCAAGAGAAGTACTGGTAACATTAAGTGTTGTAGCAAGAGAAGTACTGGTAACATTAAGTGTTGTAGCAAGAGAAGTACTGGTGACATTAAGTGTTGTAGCAGGAGAAGTACTGGTAACATTAAGTGTTGTAGCAGGAGAAGTACTGGTGACATTAAGTGTTGCAGCAAGAGAAGTACTGGTAACATTAAGTGTTGTAGCAAGAGAAGTACTGGTGACATTAAGTGTTGTAGCAAGAGAAGTACTGGTAACATTAAGTGTTGTAGCAAGAGAAGTACTGGTAACATCAAGTGTTGTAGCAAGAGAAGTACTGGTAACATTAAGTGTTGTAGCAAGAGAAGTACTGGTGACATCAGGTCTTGTTGTAAGATAACTGCTGGTGACATCAAGTGATGTTGAACTTAAATCAGTAACTGAAATAACGAGACTAGACACTATAGAAGAAACATCAAATACTGTACTACTGATGTTGCTGGTTATGCTAGTGGTTGTTGATGGAATACCAATAGAAAATGAATGGATTGTAGATACAGAATCAGTTTGTGTTGTTGTAAACTCGACATCAGTGATGCTGATAAATGAAGAGCTTGTCGTGACAGAAATAACTGGAGAAGAAGAAGCAATGAGATCCAGTGTAGCGACTGAAGATGTAGCATCCAAATCCACTGAACTGAAGAGAATATCATCCAAAGAGCTCATGACTGCTTCAGGTGATGGAGAAACTATTGATGGACTGATGGTAGCAACTGATGAACTAACGGATGGACTAGCAACCAATGAAGTAACTGATGGAGCATCCATTGAACTAACTGATGAACTGACGGTAGCATCTGATGAAGTAACTAATGGACTAATGGCAGCAACTGATGGAGTAGCATCCATTGAACTAACTAATGGATTGACATTAGCACCCGATGAACTAACCAATGGACTAATGGCAGCATCCAATGAAGTAACTGATGGACTAATGGTAGCATCTAATGAAGTAACTGATGGACTAATGGCAGCAACTGACGAAGTAACTGATGGACTAGCATCTATTGAACTAACTAATGGAGTGACAGTAGCACCCAATGAACTAATGGCAGCCTCCAATGAAGTAACTGATGGACTAATGGTAGCATCCAATAGACTAAATGATGGACTAAAAGTAGCATCCAATAAAATACTGAATGATGGACTAATTGTAGCATCAAATGAAGTAGACAATCGGCTAATGGTAGCACCCAACAATGAAGCATCCATTGTACTACTGAACAATGTATGAAGTGAGCTGCTTTGACTGGATGAAGATGAGAAAAGCATTGAAAAGTCGATGCTAGTAGAAGTAACTATACTCATACTACTAGTGGACGATAGAGAAGAAATATTATACTCATCCTCATCAAAACCACTGCCTATGAGAAAAAAAGAGGAGGATTTAATAGCAAGAAATATTTCTATACATACATACCAATTTCTGTAGATTGAGAGCAGATACAAGGCAGACATTGCAGGAGAGCCAAAAGCAGAAGAGAAACGCTAAAAGGCCTCATGATACACCTTCTCTTTCTCCTCTCCTTCTCCACACAATAAGAAATGAGAGACAACAATGTGCTTCTGTACAGTCTAAGTGGTTAATTATTAATAATAATGATGATGACGTCACAATACTGAAATAGATCATAGACTAGACTAAGATTCAGCTGATAATAATAAGTGATAATACATTAAGATAACAAAGCAGTTTCACTATTATTATTATTATTATTATTAGTGATTTTTGATTTTATTGATTGCTTGAGAGAGCCATGACACCAAGACAGACAATTCTAAAAAGAAACAATACCATTAAATCTCTTTTCCCTCCCTTTACTTTCAAAACAGGAACACTTGAAAACTCTATAAAAGTCTTCACTAGAGCAGTGCAGTGCCGATAAAATGCAGGACAAAAAGACTATACAATACAAATTAAAATTTAAAATAAATCTATACATATATTCTTCTGCTTGATAACCTGAAGGCCTTCGTATCCAGTATCAGAAGCAGCTGTGGTACTGGTATTATTAGTAATGGAGTCACCTGACAGCTGGTAGTCCTCAGTACTTGTTAATAGATTAGAGTGTATGGTAAATATAAACTGTACTAAGTTTGAATCTAAAGCCAGCTGCATGTAATTAATAGGGAGACACAAAGATATGTATATTTACTATTGTTTAGTAACCTTTTGGACTAAGGGTTTTTTGATAGGTAGAAGGATCCTAAATGAAAGTGAGAGAGAAAGATCACAACACTCAATCTCTGTAGTACATACACATTCTGCCTATCTTGTACATGTACATGAAGCTGTTATCTACTCTTCCTCCTCCTCTATCTGTCTCAAGACACAAATAGAGGAAGTTACTTACTTACCAATATCTACATCTGATAAGCAGAATATGTGTTTACCACAAAGTTTATAAACTTGAGGTACAAAATGCAAACACAGACACTGCATAGTCTCTCAATTCTCACTTTATACAAACAAGTGGGATTACTCTTTGTTCATAACTACTTGGAAACAGTCTCCTAAAATGAAAAAAGCAAAGACTCAATTTATACTCAAGTACATTGTGCTAAATTTACTGAAAATATACTGTGTTTTACTGGAGTATACTAGGTACGTACATGTATGTTAAAAGCTTACCTGAAGTTTGTTATGAACTCAGTGCTATCTGAAAGTGAAAGTATTAGCGACAGATAATTTATAAACACTGCAATATCAATAATAATTACTGTTATTACTAGCGATGATCCTCCATGCTTGCATCTCCCTCTCTAAGCAAAACTACGGGAAAAAATTACATATTTATTTTTTATAAACAATCACAATACTTTTGATATTGTTATTAATTGATTTTCAATTAAAGGAGATTCAAGGAGTTGAGCCCAAGATCTTGAGAGCTTTCTGACGCAGCAATCAAAAATGAAAGTTAGTAATATCTGAAAATTAAACAAAAAAAGAACAAAATCGTTCCTCAAACTCATCTCAATCTGCTCACTTTAGTATCAAATTTTGACTGATTCCGATCAATAAATGTCTTAAAAGATAGCATGATTCTATCAGCATTACTTGATGCCGTTAACGTGTTGAATATGAACACTGATACTCCAGGAAGGTAGGAGGATGAGAAGAAGTGAAACGAAAAGAGAGCAGCACTAAAATCACTAAAAATAAATGAGAATACATACAATTGCACATATGTACTTAATCTGCCAAAATAAACTGTACTAAATGGATTCTTCCCTTCCCCTCTCTCTCTCTACCATTACTGTACAATACATATACATGTGTACATGTACATGTACCTCTTAGCCCATTCACATATGTTGGTCATCTCTCTAGACATGTTCTCCTTTATTATGTTATCTTCTGATAGTACACATAATTCAGACCAGTGATACTATAAGAATATAGTTACATATACTGTACAGTGGGTATATTCCGTCCGAGTTTAATTTCATTCTTTTTGTTCTCATTCCTTGTAGAACGAATATCTTCCAAACGAAAAGGGCGTTTCCTCAATGCCACGTGTGCAAAATGGCTGCTCAGAACGAAAATTTCTAATTCTGCCTAGAACGAACATTTTTCCAGATGAAATATACCCACTATACAGTACATGCATGTACACGTTATAGATAAACTACAGATGGATATACAGGAGGATGCTAGTTGATTAGAAGTGGAGGCTATAGTACTATCAATTACTATAGTGTGTACTCTTATAGCGTGTGGGTGAATCGGCCGTTAGATGACACTACTAACTACCCCCCCTGTGATCTACACTAATATACTCATGACAGTGCTTTTGGTACACACTACCACACACTATAGTACAAATACATGTACATGTATATGTACTTTCTTACTAATATTAAGTGGGTACAGTGGGTATATTCCGTCCGAGTTTAATTTTGTTCTTTTCGTTCTCATTCCTTGTAAAACGAATATTTCTCAAACGAAAAGGGCGTTTCCTCAATGCCACGTGTGCAAAATGGCTGCTCAGAACGAAAATAAAACAAACGAAAATTTCTAATCCTGCTTAGAATGAAGATGAAATATACCCGCTATACAGTACATGCATGTACACATGTACATGTACACGTTATAGATAAACTACAGATGGGTATACAGGAGGATGTTAGTTGATTAGAAGCGGAGGCTATAGTACTATCAATTACTATAGTGTGTACTCTAATAGCATGTGGGTGAATCAGCCTTTAGATGACACTACTAGCTACCCCTCCTGTGATCTACACTATATATATTCATGGCAGTGCCTTTGATACACACTACCACACACTATAGTACAAATACATGTACATGTATATGTACTTTCTTACTAATATTGATG